CATTTCCAGGGAAACGTGATTATCCCCAGCGTCGGCGCGGCCCCACGAGGCGCCTGCCGGGGGACAATGCTCGGACATTGCATGGCCTGGCCCTGACCCGGAGCGTCTTCCCGAGCGCCGGGGAAATGCTGCGAGCGAGGCGGTGGCACGGTGTGGTTTGCTCTGGTTTGCAGCGAGGCTGGACTGGTGCTGGGCAGCAGGCGTGTACGTCCGTGTCAGTGCCTGGCAGGGTATGTCCTGTCGGGAGAGAGGCAGATCCTCGCCCCGATGGGGCCGTGAGCCTCCGTGAGCGGGTGCGGAGCCGGGCGTGCAATAAACCGGCCTCTCCGTCTGCGCCAGTGGCTCATTTCACCCGTCAGCGGGATGCGCGTGGCTTTAAACGCCAGGCTGGGCTTCCCAGGACCAGTGTAAAGAAAGTTGTTTTTCTTAAAACGTACAAAATTCAGCTTGCAAATCATGGTCTGTGGCTGGCTGGCCAATATTGCTCTCGATCAGCTCCCACCTTCCTCGGGGCATTTGGGTTTTGCCCTTTTGACATGAGTGTTTTCTTGCCAGCGGGACAGCTATCTTCTGGTGCGTCCTCGCGCCCTGCCTCTTTCCTCCACCCCGGCTTGGATTGCAAAAACTCCCATAGCTTTTTTCTTTTTTTTTTTCCTTTCTTTTCTGGTTTAAAATGGTTTTAGAGGAAAAAAAGGTTTTAATTTGGCTTCAGTGCTGGTGCTGCGCAGAGACTTTACGGGGGGGTTGCACTTCCCCTTCCTCTTCCCTCCCACCTCCAGACCCAGAGCATGTTCTGGCAGCTTGCTCAAAATCAAAGGCTTACTTAAAAAAATAAACAGCAAGGGAATTGACCCTTTAAAGGTGGAATATTCCCTCTTAGCTTTTTCAAACTGGGATGCCCTGCCTGGGCATGAATACCAGTAACAGCCTGGCTGTCCCGTATGGTCTTTACGGGTAATTCCTCGAGCGTTTAACTGAGCAGGTCGGTGTCGTCGCTGCTGCAGGACCGCATGTCCTCCGGGCTCTGCGGCTGCGGACGTGCCAGGACCGGGAAGCTTGGCTCCCGCTCCATGGAGCCGAGTGCCAGCGTTCCGATTTCTGCCTCTCTGGTATCGCTGAGGGATTTTGGAGTTTTCACCGGTGACAGCGTTGCACAGATGTTGCACAAATCCTGGACGCGAGTGCCTTTCCCAGGAGGGCTCGTCCTAAGAGGAGCCTTGCAGAGGAAGGAAGGTGAAACTGCTAGCGGAGGGAAACCGAAGCGTTCCCAAAGCCGCGGATGTTAGCCCTGAAGTGAGCCCCGGTTCTGCCGGGAGCGTGCTGCTCCCCCCCACCGGCTTCAAAGGAGCTGAAAGGCTCTCGGAGGCCGGGCGTCACCTCGGGTCCCTCTCCAGGCGTTCCTGCTGGCTGCGGTTCGGCGGCCACCCGGTCCACCCCCTCCCCAGGCT